TCACCCACCACCACCCCTGAGGAGTGGTTACTCCAGGAATGCTCTCCAGTTACTCCCCCTCCCTCCCAGTGGTTCAATTCACTCCTCACAAGGGGTACTTCCCAGCCTGAACTCTGAGTGTAAAAATGAGAGGGCTACAAGACCTGACAAAAAGGAGTTCTTGTTTTTCATACTTCTTTGGCTTTTACCTTGTTAACTTTTGCTCTTCCAGTTATTGTTAGCCGCTCTTTCCTGCGGCCCCAGAGTTAACTGTGTGCCCCCATGGGTGAGTGGGAGCTCATTTCAAATCCTTCTATCAGTGATTTACTATTCAGTAAATGAAAAGCTATCAGGAAAACCAGATTAGGCTTGGCCTGAACCCAAAGGAGTTACAGGATTAGTTTAGTGCAGTTCCTGTCCACTGAGAAAATAAGCAGAGGATTTAATTAAAAGAGTTGTTTTCAGTTCAGTGGTCACTGGCGTGGCTGTGAAAAAATGTCACTGTGTCAGGAGGTGGAAATCAGGGAAAAGCCAGGAGAAGGGATGCACACATCTCTGAACTTCTGCCAGTGATTTGATGTCAAGGCAGCTTTAATATTACTGTGAACTTTAAAAGTGACACAGGTTCTGTTGGTTTTACCAGCTCTGAAAACATCTAAAATTTCTATTCTAAATTAATTTTTCTATGTCCTTTAGGGGGTAATACTTGATCCCTGAAATTTTTTGTTAACACATAGAGAATCGCTAAAAAATTATTTTGCTTTGATTTTTATTTTCTTTTAGGGTTGCATTCACTCAGTGGCACCCAGGCAGGCTGTGTGTTACAGCTCTCTCACTGAGGGACAATCCCAGGAGTGGAGCTTTCCTGGAGAGCTGCTCTGTCACCACAAGAGCTGGAAATCAGCCTGCTTTCCATTTCTCACCACTTACATCGAAAACAACAACGGGGCAAGAATCCCATCACTGTGCTTAGCCTTTAAATGCAAATACACCTAAACCTGCTAAAACCTAGAAAAATAATTATGGAATTCTGCCTGGACTTTGTGCTCAGCAGCATGCAGGTTGCAGCATGCATTCATTGAACTGGGGCTTTCACACAGAATTCCCTGAAGTCACCTCTTGCTTTAGAGTTTTTATGTTCCAGCAGCTGAGTTTTATAAAATTCAGAACACTCAATCCAGGCAGGCCAGGTTGGCTGCCAGGAATGTCCTGAAGCACACCAGGCTCTGAGCCCAAACCTCATCCCAAACACACCCCAGCTGTTACTCACACACCTGTGAGGGAGCCAGGCCTCTTCCAAGGAGAATTCCTCCAGGAGGCTGTCCCAGTGCTGCAGGAGCTCCCACATGTCTGGCTGCACCAGGGGGATGCTGATGCACTGCTCCCAGCCGCTGGCAGCCCTGTGCACGCCCTCCTGGTCATAGTTGTACACCAGCCCTGCAAGCACAGCCATGGGCAGCACGCACTGAGTCCTTCTGGGCTTTTCCTGCCTTCCAGCAAAGTCCTGCTCTCATTTCACAGCACAGTTTGGAAAAAGGTCTGGCTCTTTTAATAATCACAGCAACTGAAGGACAATCAGGCTTCATTTTTGACCCCCAAAGGAGACTGCCTTTGTATGAAATATACATCTGGAATGATGCTTTGCAGGGCGACCTACACTGGGTAGAACCCAATAGGATTTCTAATGTGCCTTTTAAAGATGTTTTCTAATTAGGGGTGTTTTTAGAATTAGCAAAAATGCTGTTAAACTCAGTGAAACTGTAATTCCTTAAAAGCAAGCCTAGCCTTTTGTTCCAGGGCTGGAAGGCACGTCTTGTCAGTGCCTGCTTAATCCATTCAGGGAATGAGTTTGCTCTGGGCTGTGCTGCAAGGTGAGCTCAGGCACCCCGCGGCATTCCGAGCTGGGACTGCCGGGCAGCAGGGCTGGCAGGGGATGGGGCAGGGCAGGGGAGGGGCAGGGCAGGGGAGGGGCTGGGGCAGGGCAGGGC